GTGGGTTAAAGCCTCTGCCTTCAGCTCCAGTCATGATCCCAGGATCCTGGGATCGGGCCCCACATCAGGCTCTCTGCTCTGTGGGGAGTCTGCCTCCTCCTCTCTCTCTGCCTGCCTCTCTGCCTACTTGTGATCTCTGTCAAATAAATAAAGAAAATATTTTTTAAAAAATAAAAGGGTAAATTTTATGCTGTGTGAATTATATCTTAATTTGAGAGAGAGACACATACAGGCAGAACAAGAGTAGTAAGAAAACAGGCTGGAAGGGCAGTGGCAAGGCAAAGCCATGCTGCACCCACAGATATGAGGTGGTGAAAAGCAGAAGTAGCCAGCACATGCAGAGAGCAGAACATGTGTCCACAGTCAGAAATATGGGAGTTTCCAGGTCTTCCAGCTGTGGAATTCCTGATTACATAACAATCCAGTCCTTGTGTGTCCTTACCAAAAAAACCCTTTAATATATGAATATATGCTAGCTCTAGTGAGTATCTGTTCCTTGCAGCCAAACAGGCTGACAAATACTAACTTTCTATCTGTTTAAAAACAATGTCCTGGGCGCCTGGGTGGCTCAGTGGGTTAAGCCACTGCCTTCGGCTCAAGTCATGATCTCAGGGTCCTGGGATCGAGTCCCGCATCGGGCTCTCTGCTCAGCAGGGAGCCTGCTTCCCAATCTCTCTCTCTGCCTGCCTCTCTGTCTACTTGTGATCTCTGTCTGTCAAATAAACAAATAAAATCTTTAAAAAAAAAAACAAAAAAACAAAAAAACAATGTCCTTAGGGGGAAAGAAATGGGTAGAGGGGATTAATAAGTACAAATTGCCAGTTATAAAATAAATCATGGGGATGTGATGTACAGCATGGGAATACAGTAAATAAAACTATTAACTCCATTGGGGCGCCTGGATGGCTCAGTTGGTTGACTGTCTGCCTTTGGCTCAGGTCATGATCCCAGGGTCCCGGGACCAAGCCCCATGTCGGGCTCCCTTCTCATTAGGGAGCCTGCTTTTCCCTCTCCCACTCTCCCTGCTTGTGTTCTCTCTGTCAAATGAATAAAATAAAATCTTAAAAAAGAAAAAACAAAAACTATTAACTCTGTAAAGTGACAGATAGTAATTAAACAGTCATAACCATTTCACAATACAAATGTCAAATCACTGCGCACTGTATACCTGAAACTAAATAATATTGTATGTCAGTTATACTTCAATAAATTTTAAAAAATCATTTCCAAAACCTTTCGCTACTCATTTTTTTTCTCTCCCCCCTTCTCACTACCTGTTGACCTCCGTTTGTTCACTACAGAAAGAGAAAAATTTCAGATACTTACCAACCCTTCCACCTCCCCAAGGGGCATAAATATTTGCTGCTTCTCGATCTCCAGCCACCCACCTACCCATAACAAGTCCCTCTCTGTGCTGTGGAAACTGCCCAGAAGAACATGAGAATAGAAAGGACCCAGAAACACTGGCCTCAATTACTTACCAGCTGTTCTCTAGTGTGAACAAGACAAAAAGCATGTATGCTGGAAGGAAGAATTTCCATTTGGATAAAGGCAAATCTTCCTGTTAGTTGGGGTGTTAGGTACTAGAAAAAGCTAGTAATAAAGGTTTTTAAATCATCTTTCAACAACTGCACAGGCTAACATCTGCTTGTGAAGGTTTTCAGCCTTCACGGTATCAGAGATAACATCTGGAGACTTTATTTCAGTAACTACCTTTAATTATAAAAAAAAAAAAAACACACCTCATAGGGTTTATCATTCATTCAACTGCATTTCCCAAGTTCCTACTATGTAAGAGACATTACACAGGAGAGAGTGCTATAAAAGGAGACTGAGCAATATTGCCCTGAAGGCAATGGCACTGAACAATTGGAAGGACTCTACTATAATGCCCTACAAATATTTTCACGGATATATAAAAGTTCTGTGAAAGAAAGTGGCTGGATGGTTTTGTTTTGTTTGGGGGAGGAGGGCAGGGGTTTAAGCTGAATGGACAGAAGGGCTGGAAACACTGCGTTATGGTACGGCATGAGGAGGACGTGGTAAGGACTAAGAAAAAAGAGAACAGAAGAGAGTGAGACAGCATTAGAAAGGTAGAAAAGGACTTGAGAAAGGGGAGAGGACACAAACATTTTAAAAGATTAGAAAAAAGAGAAAACACTAGAAAATCAATGAGAATAAACAAATTGGAGAGACCCAGTGAAGAGCTTTTCATGTAATACTGACAGACTAAGACTTTATTCCAAGATTTTTAAACAAGGAAGTGATCAGATTTGTCTTTTAAAAGACACCTGGCAGGGGCGCCTGGGTGGCTCAGTTGTTTAAGCATCTGACTTAGACTCAGGTCATGATCCCAGGGTCCCGGTACAGAACCCCATGTTGGGCTCTGCTCAGTGGAGAGCCTGCTTCTCCCTCTCCCTCTGCCTGCTGCTCCCACTGCTTGTGCTCTGTCAAGTAAATAAAATCTTTAAACAAACAAACAACTGGCAATAATACAGAGGATGACATAGAATGGGAAAATACAGAGATTTCCACACAAACTAGCTCCTAAGATTAGGGCCCAGTCTCAGCAAAGCTGAAAAATTTGGAGGCAGGATTCCCTATAACTTGGAGATCCCTTGATGAAAAAGGAAGTAGTTACTGATCACTCTTGGGTTCTAGTACAGACAATCTGGGAAAGTGTTTTTGCATGGGAAGCTCAGGGGACATTTGGGGGATAAACACAGAGATGTGAGAATCAAAGAAGTACATCGATACCCCTTTAAGCCAAGGGAAAGCCAAGAGAAAAGGGCCTGAGCTACAACTCCTAAACAATACCCATCTCCTAGGGTACAAACAAAGTTAAGAGGAACCAGGGAAGCTGAAGAGTGGTCAGAGCAGATCAAGGACATGGTTAAAAATAAGAACAGGAACTACAGTTCAGGTCCCCCAACCCCTGCACACCTCCAGCAGCCATTTTTCTCTTTTGTTGTAAAGATATTCTGAAATACATTGTTAGATTACATTCCCAAGCAAAAATCACTTGAAAGAGAAAACCACTGATGTCAAGTCTCCTGCTAAAGAGTATGAATTAAAAGAAGGGCTGAGAATCCAACAAAAAAGTGGCAAACACACCATTCAAGAACTTCCTTCCTCTCAACTCTGTGGTGTTTTGGCATATAGTACCCATGAGAGTGGGCCCGAGGCCTTGCAGTAATGAGAGGAGCTGGGCTCATGGGTACCTGGTTCAATGACACCTGAGGCAGCCTGGTCTAGGGGGCAAAAATAAGAAGAGGGTATCATTAAACTTGATTTTAAGTCCAAGGCTGATACCAACTGTCCTCAGGCATGTCAGTTATAGCCTCTGTCAACTGGGTTTTTCATCTTTACTATAAAATGGGCAATAGCTTGTGCCCAATTAACTTCCTACAGCTTCTGTAGGATGGAGGATTAAATAAATGCAAACACACTTGGGAAAAAATGATGTGATGGTGTCCTCCCCCATCACCACTAACAGGATGTGCTGCATTCAGTCCAATGGCTTTCAAACCTTAGTGTCCATGAAAACCACATGAGACATTGCTAAAATACAGATTCTGGGGTCCTATTCTAAGCATAAGAATATGTAGGCATGGGTCCAGGGATCAGCATTTTTACATTCCAGATAACTTTCATGCAGTGATCTGTGATCCAGATTTCATGGGATACTGAATTAGTCTAACCTCATGAAAGATGAGAAATCAGGTTGAGGAAAAATGCTGTATCTAAGGACCAAAGGCAGTGCCAAAGCACAGAGAGATACTATTAAAATGATAGACAATATGAACCACAAATCCTATTTCTAAAAAGACATATCTGGTACATGGGAGTACTTCTATTATGTATTAAGTCTTTATGATGACATTCATTGTGATTTCACCTGTTATGTGCAGCTAAAATAAAATTTTAGCAGTAAAGAACTTTCATAAAAAGACATCTAAATTATCATTATTTTGGACACTACAGAGAAGACATAGCATCCATTTCAAAGGAGCAAACCAGCTACCTTTGAGGTCCCCCAAACTATTCCACAGAGAACTGTTCAGAATCTATTACCCACACCTGTTACACGTAATCCCAAGGTAAAGTGATTTCCAATGGAGGCCTGCTCTCAAGGCCTTACATTACTACTGTTATCTAGGACCAATCTACCACTTAATATTCTTGGCTTTGAATAACCTAAGGCTCATCTGCTTGAGGTTTCAAGGTACTTTGAAGCCTGGTTAAAGTAACTGAAATCAGCAGTTAGAAATGGGTTCGTCTATACCAAGTGCTGCACTCAGGTTTCCTGAAGCCACAGCTCAGGCCAGGTTAGCAATTTAGCTGCATACAATGGCAGTGTCACTTCCTGAACAATACTGCACACTGATTAGTTTCTCGCTCCCATGTTGAAGATCTGGGCAAACTGCCAATCAAGACTGATCCAGCTTTGCTTTTTTGGGGGGGTAGGGGGTATCCATCTGACATCCCTGAAATCATGTACTGTGTTGCATTTTCAGTTAGACTAGGAAAATAATCAGAGCCCGGGATTATAGATTAGATGCCAATACAGCATTCTGCATACACTCTGGTAGCCAGTCTCTTCTGTAATCTAAGAATTTGATATAAATAACTTCCCAAAAGATTATTTGAAATTGCATATCCAACGCAAAGCAGTGAAGCTAAGGTAGAAAAAAAAAATACTTTGGAATCTATCATATGGGAAAACACTACAGCCTGAAGGAGCCAACACACTTGAGTTGATGTTGCTGCTCATATATCAAACGCACCCTTCTGTAGAGAACTTAGTTACAGCCCCAAGGAAATCAGCAGTAATGAAACAGAATCAGACTACAATAGAAAATAATAGTAGTGTGAACTTTGGCTTCCTCACCCAATTTTTTCTTCCCTCTTTCAGGGAAAGGGACTAGTTTCATCAAATAACAAAGAAAATTGCCCAGTTCCTCTGCTTATGATAAAAATTAGACAACAAAAATACTTACACAGGACTGGAATTCAAAGAGCAATGATCCACCATCATTTCTGGAAGGAAATCCAACTTAAACGCAGCCATCACCTCACTCTCCCCTTCAGAAGCCAATGATATTAACTTGCTGCACTTGTCTGATCCACAAATACACACAGCTTTAGCTTCCTGGGCCCCACAAAAAACACAAAGTGGAAACAGGAGCTCAGGGAAACCAGCAATAAGTGCCACAGAAACAGGCAGGACTGGGGAGGGGAAAGGGAGTACTGGATTAAAGGGGGGATGTGAGCATGTGAAGGGAGGCTCAGCCCGGCACACAATGAAAGTGCTGATGCGCCAGGCTGGGTTTGTGTGATTTTCCCTGGCGAAGCAGTACTAAGTGCACTGTCAGATAAATAGTGTGTCAGATCCATGAAGATAGCAGCAGCTAACAGAGCAGAAGAAACACAAACTTGTTTCACATCCTCCAAACTCCTTTCCACGAATCAGGTTTTGAGGGGCCCCAAACCCTAAAACTACCTAAAGCAAAACCCGCCCCCCAAAAACAAAAACAAAACAGCTAGGGAAAAAAAAAAAAAAGAAAGAAAGAAAGAAAGAAAAGAAAAAAAGCTCACCTCATGTGGTCTGAAAATGTTTTTGGAAAGGAAAACTGGGTTGTTGGCCTTGGTTTAAACTTAGCTTCCATGTGCCAAAGACAGCAATGAGCAGAGTGCTGCGTCCAAACTAACCTCAGCATAGTCACAGAAGGGATGGTTCAGACGGTCAGAAACAGGCACAGGCAAGGTGCTAAGGAACTGGTCACCAAAAACTCAAGGGCTCACATGCTAACTACTACTGCACTGGACCAACCCTGACTTCTCAATGGTGTGTTGAGACCAAAGTGGGTCCTCATCAGAGTGAAGGACTTTTAAAAAAATTCCTGCTTCAATGACCTTCATTAGATGGGATAGGCAAAACTTTATCCTGAATCTTATTTTTACCAGAATATTTAACAAGCGAAAATATAAATGAAAAGTAATATTCTGCCTTTTGACAGAGTACTAGGAAACAATGTCTTTTCTGTTGTCTGACCTTTCTAGAGAAACAAAAACCACCAGAGTGATAATAATGAGAAAAGCAGGGCCCACTAGAAGCAAAAAGTCAACCATGTAAATAAAGGAAGGACTGAATAATGTAAACTCTCCGTCCTCCTTTAAACTGATGCTAAAACCAAGATTAATGAACACACACATAAAAATTCTATTATGGGTGAGCAGTAGAAATGGATATACTTAGCAGTCAAGGCAGATGTGGTGCTCCCGTTCTCAATTTAGCTTCCCATCCTCCAAACAACAAATGGTGGCATTTCAGTATTTAGGCAGGGACTCTAAAACTCTATCTCTGAAGGCTCCCACATTGCGCAGGCCTTCTTTCCATTTTTATCATGAGGACTGCCTTACCTCAAAGATTTCACTTCACTCAAGCTCAGTTCACAACACAGGGAATTTTGAAAAAAGGAAGTTATGTTCAGCCTGTAAAGAGGTAAACAAATGAACTCCTAAACGTATAGCGTTACTTAAAAACAAAAATAACGAAAGGCAACATGTCATCGCGCAGGCCTAAGTGCTGCAGCCTGGCCAATAGTGCTGGACCCCTGTCCGCATCTGACCACTGAAGGAGAAACGGTGTCTTCTAATAAACAGGCGTAACCATCCTAAAGTAAGAACTAAAACAGCAGCTAACCACTCTTCTATTTTGTCAGAGACCCTGGCTCCTCTGACCCACTACTTTAGAGTCAGAAGTTGCAGGAGCTCTTCCACCTCCTAAAGCGGGATGCTGCACCAGGCTGCAGTGAGAGGAGACTGCAACGGGCACACAGCACGCAGTTCACCAAGTGCTGACTGTCAGGCAGGCAGAAGACAGTAACCCTAGCTGGGACTGGTTAAGTTACTGGTTAGGTTTGTCCTAGTTTCTCCTATGCACCCTGGAACTGATCACATCCTTCTTCCTACAGAAAGCTAGCAGAACAAAGAAGTAACTCTGTGAGTTGGTCAACAACCAAATTAGGGTTTTTTGTTTTTTTAGTTCAAGGGTTCCTTTAAAAAGGAAGGAATCAACAAATTTTAAAGAATCTCACTAGTGATTGCTTTTACTATTCACTAAAAATATATCTAGCTCCATCTCCATTTAAATCAGAATCACATGCATAACAAGCGTATTTAATGGGGAAGACTTTACTGAGCGGCCAGGCACTGCTCAGCGTATGAAAGGATATGCACTCCTTACATTAATTTTTACCAAGCCAAAGGCTGAAAAGTATTGGTTTTAGAGTAATGTTTTAAAATCCATTTTATGATTTATAAGACAAGACTGCTTTAAAAACTTAAAAGATGGAAATGCTATTACATGAAGGAGGGTGCTTCTCTTTGGGCAGGTCACAAGAGTCATCTCAGTATAATTAAATTCAACATACTTGTGGGAAAAGAAAGCACGGATATTAATCACAAGTCACAATTTTAGAGAAAGATTAAAAAGTCAAATGATAAAAACAATTATTCAAATACAAAAATGCAGATGTTAAGGGAAAATTAAAAAGCAGAATTAGCAATTACTCACAGAAAACTGCCCATAAGTTGTTTTTTAAATTTCTTAATCAGAAACACATTCCAGGCTTTTTCCACAAAGGATGCATTAGAAGTAAAGAGATGGCAGGAAAGGTTATAACCAAGGGTCCACTGCAGGAGGCTTTAATTTTCCCTCACTTCCTTTTTACCGTCTGTCCTCTCACTATAAATTTACATTCATGGTTTCCTCTTCTTTCCCTGATGTTCTGTGTTAGTTTTCTTTGCCTTGAATATTGTCTACTTCTTTTCTAAGGGCAACAGTTCAAAAGCCCAATGTTGTGAGGGCAGGGGCAATCAGCCTGCTGTAACATTAAGAACCAAAATCATTAAAACTGATTGGTAGATAAGGGAAAGCCTCTGAAGAAGAGCACACACTGCATTTAGAACATCAGAATGGAATAAACAGTTTAAAAACTGGATTAGAAGAGAGAAATGCTAGAAGTCCCATCAGTTGTTCTGTCAGAAGAGTGAAAGAGCAAAGAAAAGCATAGTTGAGCAAAAAGGCCCAGGTGGCACATGCAATTGTCAGGCTATCTTGACTAACAGAACCAGGGAGTTCAATGGCAAGTGACGGGACTTTATACTTCCACCCCAATAACCTAAGTGTGTTTTAAAGGGCAAAAATGTGAAGCCTGGTTATATGAGCATAGAGGAAATTAGAGCCTACTGTAAAATTATAAAAGAGAACCTATGTCATTAAAAACAACCATCAGTCTATGTAAGGAAAAATGTAATAATCTAGGGAAAAGTCATGACACCTCAACAGTTAAATGGACTAGATATTTTGCCCCCAAAGCTTCTAGCTGTTAGGTGACAGAAGGGATGTAGCCCAGGGTAGCCCAGTGGGTTAAGCTTCTGCCTTCGGCTCAGGTCATGATCTCGGGGTCCTGGGATCAAGCCCCGCATCAGGGTCTCTGCTCAGCAGGGAGCCTGCTTCCTCCACTCTCTCTGCCTGGCTCTCTGTCTACTTCTGATCTCTGTCTGTCAAATAAATAAATAAAATCTTAAAAAAAAAAAAAAAAAAAGAAAAGAAAAAAAGAAAATAACCAAGCAGACTAACTTAAAAATTTAAGCTTAAAATTACCTTTACCAGCTTGAACTTACTAAAAAATTGAGTATTTCTGGGGCACCTGTGTGGCTTGGTGAAGATTAAGTGTCTGACTCTTGGTTTCTGCTCAGGTCATTATCTCCAAGTCCTGGGATAGCCACATAGCGCTCTGCATTCAGCATGGAGTCTGCTTGAGATTCTCTCTCCCTCTCCCCTTGTTCTTTACCCACCCCAACCACCACTGATGCTCTCTCTGAAATAAATAAATCTTTAAAAATCTTTCTTTTTAAAAAATTTTGTTTCTAATCTACAACTGATGTGAGACAAAAAGCACCAAGTTCAGTCACTTTTGTATTCAAATTGATTTGACTATAGAATTATCATTTATGGTACCCTGAGAGGATATGACAAGGCTAAAGGTAGGAAACCTATCACTTTTTTGAAATTTAAAAAGTTTTCCACTTCCTCCCCCTATATAACCTTACTCACCGCTACCTCCTCCCCCAATCACTGTCAAAGATAAGGACTGGCAGAAAGATACTCTTCGGTGCTTAACGCTGTCAGCAAAAGTATAAACTCAGAGCCTCCCTTGGACTTTCTCAAACTAACTCTGACCTAATAAACCGTCCTGTCATATGGTGACCACCTTTCAAATCAGGTCATATTTTTAGATCCCAAAATGTTTTGGAACTTTAGGGTAACTCTTAGTTGGTAACAATATACTATGTAAGTTTAAACTTTATTTCAACTCCAGCATCAATTACAAAATCAGTTATGTTGAACAAATTCTGGTTTCAGGAGGGTAGTATTTGTATGAAATCCACTAAGTTCTGTCCTCATTCTCATTCTAGTTTACTCAGGGTCTTTCAGGCAAGACACAGAATGGGAAAGGAAAGTTAGCTGAGTAGTTGCTACAAACACACACACACACACACACACACACACACACACACACAATATGAGAACAAGGCAGCAGCTAATTCAAGTGGGAGATAAACTGCCTTGGGAAATAGCTAAGGAGAAAAAGTTGAGAAAGAGCAAGAAAATATTTCTAGCTTCCTAGGAACAGGAAATTACATCCCACAATGTAGGAAAAAAGCCATCACCTTTCCGAATGCAATGTTTTCAAATTTGCACAACAGGCCTCATGCAAGAAGGTTAAAGAGATGACCACAGAGCACACTCATCCAGCAGTTAGCCCATACCTGTGGCTTTACACCTCCCTTTCTGGACTATGTCTTCACTCTAAAAAACCAAGGAAAGAAAAATAAGTGGGCCATACCTATACTTCTCAGAATTCCAGACATGTAGCTTCTTTCCTAAGAAAACCCCCCTTTTGTCACCATGGCTGAGAATTAAAACAAAAACAAAAAAACCTAAAACCTCCCCCCTCCCATTTTTAAAGTACACAATACCTTAAATTGCATTTAATATCTCAAAGTTAACTTAAAAATACCATCAATGTAAAAAATGGGGAAATAAAAACACTAGAAGACTTAATACAGGCTTGTCCCCAA